CAGGTCACTGCTGGCGCTCCCCAATCCAAGGCAAAGAGTCAGGGCAGGCCCTGCAGGGTTTCCCCCCTGTCCTGCCCCAGGTTTCTGCAGTGTGGGCAGTGTCCCTGAGCAGAGAACATCTGGAAATGTCCCTGGGTGTCCGTGGGCAATGGAGGCTCTGGCAGCTCTGGGAGTCCTGCCAGAGGGGGGGATAAAATAAACTGCATTTTGGGTACAATAAACTGCAATTTGGGTGCGATAAACTGCATTTTGGATACAATAAACTGCAATTTGTGTACAATAAACTGCATTTTGTGTACAATAAACTGCATTTTGGATACAAGAAACTGCATTTTGCCAGGGACTGTCCTTGCTCTGAGCCCTCGGGGCCACCTGGGGAAAAACCCTGCAAAAAACTTGGGTTGGAAATTATAAAAGTTTAGTGGTAATAAAATGTTTATAAAAAATAGCAATGCAGTTAGAGTAGTAATAATTTGGATAATTTGGATTAGGACAATATGAGACAATAGAAACAAAGAGTTATGGACAGTCTGGGTACCTTTTTCTGGGCAAAATTAGCACAAGAAAGGACCCACATTAACAGAGGATTAACCCTTAAAAGCAATAGCCTGTTGCATATTCATACCCCTCATACATGATGCATAAATTCCATGCAAACACAGGATTCTATCTGGTCAGTGTCAGCTTCTTCCTCTGAATTTTAACAGCACATTCAAGGTGGGAAAAAGTTCATTTTTTTATAATAAGAAACCAATAAATTCTCTGAAAGATTTAGGTGTCCTGTAGCTGCTATCTCAGTGCAAGTAGTTTCTTTAAAATAAGTGTCTCACATAGCAGAGTTTCTATTTTAACATTATGTTATAACCTAAAATTAGATTTACCACACTCTAAAAAAATTAACCCAGCACAACTTTCTGACACAGCACATACAATTTCCATGTGAATATTTGCCCAAAGCCAATGATAAAATCCCATTTTCCCCCCTGCCAGGGCTCAGGGCTGGGCTGGAGCCTCGGGCAGGAAGGGGAGCCCTGCTCAGGGCCAG